TCATGATGATTTATGGTGATTTTATTTCCGTTAGACCTGTGTCTACTACATCGACGCTGATGCATTAAAGTGGAGGGGGTCCCCTGTTTCAAGATGGCGGCTCTATTGACGCATTCGTTCCAATGAACTGCCATAGCCAACTGCCGTAGCCAAGGCGGACTTTTGTGCAGTGTAATTATTTTTTTTTTCTGGAATCAATAGTAAATACATGTCTGCCCATTGGAACAAACCAAAAAAAAAAAAATAAATAAAACAGAGAAAATCGCATTCATGATGATTTATGGTGATTTTATTTACGTTAGACCTGTGTCTACATTGACGCTGATTAAAGTGGAGGGGCTCCCCTGTTTCAAGATGGCGGCTCTATTGAAGCATTCGTTCCAATTAACTGCCGTAGCCAAGGTGACGTCTAGTGTATATGTCTATGATTGACAGCGACAACAACTCCCGTGAGCCCACACACTTTCCCGACGTCATCAAATATGTCTTTTGTTATTATTTTGATTAAGTGACCCCTGGTGGCCAAAAAGTACGTTTAAACTAGACTATTTTCTTCTAGATCTGCTGTACAGCCGAAACAAACTTTGTTGCATTATTTTCCTGTTATCTCTGTAAAGCTGCTTTGAAATAATATGTATAGTAAAAAGTTCTACATAAATAAAGGTGACTTCACTAAGACTAGTCTGATCAATAGAGGCGAGAAACGCTGCTTTTCAAATTTTGCTTTTAGATGAACCATGACTACGAGACTTTCGGATAAAATTCACAATATTGAGCATAAAACTCACACAGAGCATATCTTTGTTTTCTGTGCTTTCTGCAATTTACATCAGCTGGACAAGCTTCCCGCTGCATTGCATGTGTCAAAAAACCTTGTTGTTTCACAACTTCTCGAAGGGACTTGAAAAATGAACAAAAAAAAGTGAAACATATGCATGATCTTGATAACATCTAGCAAATCAGTTGATCCGCCTTTCCCTAGTGCTCTCTCTCTCTCTCTCTCTCTCCTAATGTGGCTGTCATAGCAACATCCACACATGTGCCTTTTGGCAGCAAATGTAATGAGGTGAGCACACATAGTGTGTGCGCGGTGTGTGGTTTGGCAGACATTCGGCATAGTGGTTCTCACAGAAATTAATATCAGCATGGATCTAAAGCCAACCGTCTTGCACACACCTCTTCATTCCAGCCTCAGACAAACCAATCTGACCTTTCTCTTTTGAATAAGATCTAAAAACAGAAGATTTTACATTAGTTTTACATTGCCTTTTTGCAGAGGCTTTATTGGTGTAAAGAACACTGACTGAAGTTGAAGTTCAGCTGAAGCAGTTAACTGCTGAAGGGGAAAAGATGTCCTATCAGTAGAACTCTGGAATAAAGGTAGGCTCTCAGAACCAGACTTTTGGCTAGCGGCGTAAAGCCTGATCCACTTAAGCTGGTCAAGAACTTTCCAATAAGACAGGAACAGATCAGGGCTGAAAATGGTGGTGGAAATGGAAATGGTGGGAGCAAGTCCTGGGAGTTAATGTCAGTTTTGAGTGTTAACAGTTAATCGAATAATAAATTAAATACCTGGATGCTAATCTTCAACATGGTTGAATTCATTTTGTAGAGAACTTAAAAAAAAAAAAAAACTGACAAATGTATTTATGGAACCACCTCTCTATTTCTATACTGTAGTCTCCACCAACAGTTACTGACTGTCACTGGACTAAACTGATTAAAAAAATAATGAGGAAGCATTATAATATAAAATAATGCCGGAAGCGATAGCAGGAGAGAGTCAATGGTGAGTATAACTGAAGTCAGATATATTGGCATGTTGCAGAAGCTGATGACAGAACGAGTCTTAGCTGATGGGTAGAGGCTGATTACAGAAGACAGTTGAGGTACGGTATGATGGCGGTAGCAGGGAAGTAGATCAGGTAGGGAGTCAGGGAAGTGTCCATAGAACAGACAAGACCAGACAACTGAAGTGAGGATGGTGAATGCTGATATACTGCGTGTGATGAGTGGATGCAGGTGCAGTAAATGAGTACTCTGGGGATTGTGATCGAATGATGAGTGGAGCTGAGTCAGTTGGTGTGACTGATCCTGTGACCATAGGGTTGTTGGCAAAATGCTAATGCAAAAAATAAAAAATGCATGACAAAGACACTGACAGGTTATGATGTTATGGTTTATGTCAAGGTGTCATAACAAAAACATCTCAAACAATGTCATATTTGCAGTAAAAAAAAAAAGACACTTAATGACATTTGTCACAAACATGCATAAAACCTCCTTCATATTCATAACATGTATCATGTCATGATTATGAAGGTGTCATGTCAGTCTTATGTACACCCCTTCAAGTAAAGTGTTAAAAGTAAAAGTCTATAATCAGCCTAGCTTATTGTGTCCTCTTCTATACTGAATGTTTCTTTGGCAAGATATTCCACAAGCAAAAATTAGGGTGAGTTATCACCAAAATTAAACAACAAGTAATAAAATACAAATCATCATTACAAAGAATTGCATCATCACACAATCGGTGTGTCATTTCAGCAGTGGTGGAGGAAGTACTGAATCTCAATGAACCTTTGGTCTAATAAAACGTCGGTACCTAGTCAACCGTTCTCTGAGATTTGTTTTCATGATAATCGATTGTAAAGAGTTTTATCTCTAAAAACTGTTTAGCGTATAATGCTAGTAATGGGGGCATTGACTAAGTAAAAGAAATCGCTAGTTAATACCACTAATAAGGCTCAAAATACCCCCACACTAACGCAGTAACATAATGAGGCTCCATACATGCAAAACGAAGCATTGAGGACTTTGTAAGTGTACAGACCGTTTAATAAGAAGATACTTTATGAAGACAGTTCACTTCGCGTATACAGACAGGAGCCATCTTAAAAAATAGTCTCGATAAGTCGATCCCCGAACGACGTGCTGAGTGATCTGAACTGTATGAAGTTCAGGGAACTTCTGAACTGTATGAACCGCTTTCGGGGATCGACTTATCGAGACTATTTTTTAAGATGGCTCCTGTCTGTATACACGAAGTCGGTGTGATCCTAATTTTTATTTATTATAAATGTTATATCACTGTCTTTGATAAAGTTTTGTCTATCCATTTATGGTGTTTTTATGTTTATTATTTTGGGGGTATTTTTTTTATTTATTTACTTCAAAAAGTACCATATTTTCTACGTAAATTATGCTTATTACTAAGTTTTATTATTTTTTTTTTAACTACATTAAAATATCATTACAATAAGTTCTTAGAGCTAAAACCTAAAGATGAAGTGAATTTGCTGTCACCTGGTGCCTTATTTTGGCTTATTTTAGAATGCTCTAAATTACAGTTTTTCCCATTCATTTCTATGGGTGCCCATTTTTGACCCAAATACCAGATTAGGGTTTTTTTTTTCACCCACTTAACATTGTAGAATTGTGTGTGTTCAGGAGGCAAACTTAGGAAAATATAGACAAGTCTTGTACTGCTCAGATCAAGGGAAGCATTTTTTAAAAAAATAAATAAATCAAAACTATTTTGCCCACATTTGTCCAGAATACTAGCCTGACATCGTCATACTCATATTCTTGTCGGAATATGAGTCTGAGACCGCTCCGTAGGGCTTTGATTATGAGGCGTGTCTTAACCGAAAGGAAAAAAAACAAAAAAAACCCTCTGCACTCAATTGGATAGTCGGTAAACCTACAACCAATCAGAGCAACGCAGTAACTCAACAACTTTGCATAGCGCAGTTTTCAACTATAGAACTTACTTATTTTAGAAGTTAAATAACGAGTGTTGCTTCTTTTACTTACTCCTCCATGAGTGCGACCAAAGGAGAAACCACAAAGACCACAGGCTTTTCATTACGTCCCATCTTCTTAACGACCGTCAGAGCCAGCTGATAAGTTACACTTTTGCCGAATCATGTAGGAAGGACGGCAAAAATATTGCCTTGATTGCAGTTTTCTGTTTGTCTATTAAAATGAATGCGCTGTCGATTAATTTTAAAAACAGACGCGACAGAGGAATCTACGTATACATCTCAATTCTCCAGCTGCAGTCATCTCTGAGGGAAACCAGTTAGCGCTCTTTGATAACGTGATGATTACGTCCTTGCAGATCATCTGTCCATCATCGTATAAAGCCTGTCCTGGCAATTTGATTGGCCCGAACGTTTCTTGTCTGATCATAATTACTCCTCAATGGATCGAGTCCAAACCGAACTTCCCGACGAGTTCGGGCTGGCATCCAGGATACCAGAATACGGTTTTAGGGTTAAACACTTTTTTCTCGTGTTTGTAGTTCCTCCTCCAAAGCGCAATGGGTTGTGGGTATTATTAGCTGTTATAGTGAGCAGGGATACACACTGGAAATAGTAGACCATCCACACTATCTAATCTCACATACTGTTTAGAATGAATAGTGTGGACATCGGGATGCAGGGTCCTTGACTTGCTATAGCTTGGCCCTCTGTAATTTCACAGCTGTATACCACCAATCACAGAGCCGAAAGTGTTAGGTGGAAAAATCTGAATATGGAGAAAACCTATACCGATCTACACAACACAACACAAAGAGCAGATTTGTAGGGTACTTCCTCAAAAAGATTTAGATGTTTATTGTCAAATTCATAAAATAACATTAGAATTGATGACCTTTAATTTAAAAGGGACCTCTAATGTTTGTCAACAGACTCTTAAAATAGTGTTGCAGCCAGCCAATCAGATCGGGACTGCCAATTTCATTACCACTTTCCTCTGCAATATCATCAGGCAGTGAGCGTGACAAATACTGGTGATTGAGTTCAAGTTGTATTCAACCTGGTGTATTACCTGTAGTTGTAAGCACATGTGCCGCAATGACTTCAAATATGCAATTTGTTAGAGATATTGTAACCTATTTCCATGCATTTCCACAGTGCAATTTGTCCTAAACGCTAAATTAGAGTTTACACTCAAACCCCATGATCTTTAGGACCGTGCGGTGTCACAACGCTCTGTGCTCGCCGAGCTCAAGAATGGGTTCAGTCCGCGCGCACAGCACACACACTGACATCTCCCAGCGCGAGCGGAGCGCGGCAATTTAATGACGGCATAATCTGATGAAGTAGCAACAATCGAGAGGGAAAGTGGATCTTCATGCGCACATTCCCAGGAATATTCCAGCTGGCTTCAGGATGAAGACACCGATGGTAATTGTATTGAAAACTGTTTGAATGTCTCGCATCTCTCCAGTGCAGCATTGTTGCTGAAGTACTGCGGCTCTCTGTTGCTTTCACATGCTGAATGAAAGAACATTAAAGACAATAAAAAAACAATTTAATAAACTTAATCCCCATGTCTAAATCATGAGGAGTTTGTCGGAAATTAAATTTATGGAGATGGAAAATTTTACTTTGTGGAAAGAACGTGGCTGTTGTGGATTTTATTGTTTTAAACATTTTAAAAACAATTTGCTTGAGAATATTATATGCATTGTAAAATGATGCAACCAGTTTTTTTTTTTTTGTACGGTACTATTAAATAATAACATTCTTTGAAATAATGGAGCTTTTTTTTCTCTCATAATGACAAGATCAACATGCGATCAAATATACAAAATTTTACATTGTTTAATGTTGCTGTTGCGAAACCAACATCTGGTGCATCAGTCTTAGGCATCAGCATTTAGTTAGAATCTGCAAGTTCTTATAATCTCAATCTAATTAATATTTGAGCATGGGAAATGTGATTTATATCCTATAATTGACTGCGTCGCGGGCATGAGTTGGTGATGATTTATGACCTTGGCTAAGCTTGCGCTCTGTGGTGGATTTGAACTTTTGCCCTCATGTTTTCCAGCGTCATGGAGTTGCCGTTTTTCTCGCCATCACCATGTGCACCAGTCTGTTGTTCGTGTACAGCGTCAGCTACAGTAATAATACTACAGCATCCAGCGCGTCTAAGGGCGCGTCAGGTGAGAAAGTGGAGCCCACCAGTGCGCCGCGCGCGCCTCCAGCACTGCAGGGATACAGCAGCATCATTGAGCACAAGGTAAACGGTTATTCTTTATCTATTCGAGTGAAGTTGTCTGTGACCGATGCAAAAAAACAAAAAACAAAAAAGTTATGCACTTTTGTATCGTGCTGGAAAATCATCTTTGTTTTCATATAAGGTTGCGGTGGTTGTTAGCTTGTTTAAGAAACCAGTGTAACTGTATGTGTTAATATATTTTTATATTGTAATATTTTTTTTTTACATTTAATCTCCAAAATGACATGGAAACAACATAAAGGCAGTATTTAAATATTTGTTTAATGGCATCTTTTTATGAATGAAGCAAGACAGTATCACAGATACTGTTACTGATTTGTTTTCTCTCAATGTTTGACATTAATTATAGGAATTCAGCATTACCATATAATTGAAAGCTGTCATTTTTAACATTTATTAGGCTTTAAAATAATATAACAACTTTTAATTTATGTGAACTTAAGACAATCTTCACATCATGCATCTCACATTTACCTGTGCCCTTCCATATATCAGGGCTATTTTTTTTCTATTTCTATTTTTACTTGCCTTGTCAAAATGCACAAAAAGTTATTGTTTTTATTGTTTTCGACCCCTGTAACCTTGTAAACAGTTTATCGATATATATTTCAGTATTGATATGAATTAAATAATCTATATTTTTGACAACACTCGCACTTATTATTTTAGATGCCTTTTAAAGGGATAGTTCACTTTGAAATTAATTTTTGCTATGTTTTAGCTTACCTCAAGGGCATCCAAGATGTAGGTGTCTTTGTTTCCGCAGTATTTTCAATTTTGATATTTTTAGATCTAACCGTTCTTGTCTGTCAGTCATATAATGGAGGTCTATGGTCACCACCTCAAAGAGCATGCACAGAGAAGTCCAAATTAAACATGATTTAATGACTCGTAAATGTAAGTACACATTGATGGCCTAAGACACGAAACGAGCGGTTTGTGTGAGAAAACGAACAGTATTTATATCGTTTTTACCTCGTGTTACCATAGCCACGTCCGGCGGAACATTGAACATGCTTCAGTTGGACATTGGACAACTGATTTAGATCACTTGGACATGGCTGTAGTAACACGAGGTAAAAACGATATAAATACTGTTCGTTTTCTCACACAAACCGCTTGTTTCGTGTCTTAGGCCATCAGTGTGTACTTACATTTATGAGTCATTAAATCATCTTTAATTTGGACTTCTCTGTGCATGCTCTTTGAGGTGGTGACCATAGACCTCCATTATATAACTGACAGACAAGAACGGGTTGATCAAAAAATTAAAAAATTAAAAATACTGTGGAAACAAAGACACCTACATCTTGTGTGCCCTTGAGGTAAGCTAAAACATATCAGAAATTAATTTCAAAGTGAACTATCCCTTTAAAAAAGACTAATTGAAAAAAACATATATTATATTATAAAATTCAACCCGCCAAAGTGACAAGTAGTGACAAGCCACTGATGAAATCCACC